ATCACTTCTTCTATCATATCGAATGACGGCATATCCAGTGTTCGATTCAATACATTCAGACCATTAATAAGTGCATTTACAATGAGCTAATGAGGTAATTTTCTTCTGAAAGACATCATCCGTTATAATCACACGAAGAGTTTCAGCTGAGCTTTGCTCACTAGATAAGTGGAGTCGAATGAATGCTTTCGCAAGCAATTCACATGTTTTTTTTTTTGAAAATCAAAAATTCATTTCGATATTTATTGAATGATTGAATTTTTCGAATTTATTATTCAGTGTCAAAAAATTGAATTGAGTAATTAATAACGCATGTGTTTTACATCAGATCGTTCAATTTGCTCACCTCGGTTGATTGATTCCTACTTCATCCATTCGTGTTACGGTGCTCAAGTGCTTGAATCTAATCTAATGAATGCATGTTCAGTTTCGTGTCAACAAAACAAAGTGATATGAGCCAACAAATTGAATTCATGTGGACTGAAGACTAAGCTGACTTCACCAAAAACGCCCATCTATCACATATCTATACAGCTGAAATTTGCGATTCTTTACGAACTACCTAAATCTTGCGAATTTCAAAATGTTTGCCTTTACCTAAGAATATTCATCAGGTGATTAGAATTAGCAATTATTTCTCCACGAACTGCTGAAATCACATATTGTTTAACGGTACGTTTCTGATACGCCCTTCAGAGACACTTTCCTTTTCGCATCCATTTTCTTACTGAACAAATCTTGTTATTGCTATATCTCATTCTGTTTAAATTCATTTTTCTTTGGTTACAGCATACCGTCGAAGCACACGTCCATAACGATGACTTTTCTACGCACACCTAGACATAGAACGAATCCTTGTAACCGCATTACTTCGTATGGTGAAAGTGGTTGATTGAAGCAGTCACTTCCACCATGCGAAGTTCACAACTTAACCTTTCTGTGTTTCATTTGAAATAAGCACCTGGGGTTAATTGGCTTGTGGTTGAGCGATTTTAGGCATTCAGCGGTTACCCGAAAAATTGCATTTAATTGCTTCAGTTATTCAACCATTCAACATGAATTCAGTACGAATTCAGTTAATTCAATTCTCATCACGTCAGTCGTAGAACATACATTATTCTGTATTAAATGATTCTTACACTTAAAAATTAATGTGACGCCAAACAAAACAGAACACAAGATTCATTCACCAAAGTTCTGAACTGGAAAAGTATAGCATAACACATCTGTGTATAAGCATTCCAATTTCATGATAATAGTTGCATCTCTCTGAAACGAGTTATCATTTACCGATTGCTTTTCAGTTGCAGTCCGATATAAAATACTTCCCCTTGTCATTAGTCACAATTCAGCGAGTAATTAATTCGTTGTAGAGAAATGCAACGAATGCGATTTTACGTTCAGCATCCTAAATAAAATTTGAAATCATTCAAGCTCATCAATCTGATAACTGTCGCTTAATTGCTTGTGAATTGCTCGATGACGCGAATGTAAACTAATTACGTACGAGAAGATTTCACTGTCATCGAAAGCTTCTTACTTATTCTATAATTTGCAGCTGATTTACTTATTCGTCGTTTTCTGTAAATGGCCACAAAATGCGATGCATTTTGCGAAGTATGTTTATGCGTTTGAAGATCTAGCCTTAGGGCTATGTCTCATTGCATACACATATACATAGTTCTAATTCACCTATAATTACTCTGCTACTCAGCAGCTATCAATATAACAATCCAACTGTGCATCACCTCTAGCTAGCTTGGAGTCTGTTAGGCTAAACGGTCATCAATTCATGCATGTGGTGCGAAATGATCACCTCAGTAGAGCCGAAGTAGTACCAACAGCAAGGACGAGAGGTTGCATGTCCAAATGTATGAGCAGCACACTCAGTGACAAATGCAGCAGTTTTCAGCCGACTGCACGAATCAACCTCGTGAACTATTTCTTGGTTCGTTTATCTCTATCCGTTCACGGCCATCGAATCTATCTTTGCTTGAATCTGCCTTCCTCTTGACCGCACAACTAATATGGCCCCAAGGCGTTAAGCGTAATCCTAATATCGATTTCATTCCATATGTCTCATACCTCTCATCCAAATACTTATCTATCTTTTCAATTCGTTCACCAATCCAACATCCTAGCACTCTTCATTCTTATATCTCTCTAAAATATTTCCTAACCATCCCAATACTACTACAAAGCATCCATCTGTTTCTCTCTAAATCTGCCTCCGAACAAATTTATCCATTCCTATATTTCATCTCTAATCTCAAACTCTAATCGACTTCTTCATCTTCTTCTCTGAACGCTTAATCTTACCCTCATTTATCCATTCATTCATCCTACTTAACTGATCCAATCCCGTACTACTCCTTTTATATTAACTACAACCATCACCATCACATTCAATCAAAGCCGCGCACATTCGTTATGCTTATCTACTCCTTATCATAGCACCTACAAACAAACTCTGCACTTCCACCAAACTCATCTATAAGCTATTGCAGTATCACATTCGTGCAGCATCACTCCAAACTTCGATGCGTTGACATCTTACTCTCTTTAATCACCGCACGTCATCAATAACAATCATTTCAACTATTTATCCAACAAGTATGGCTAATTCAGTTATTTCTGTTATTTCTACTTCTTCTTCTCCTTCTTTACCTTACTAACAAATCGATGCGATCCGTCTAATCCTTCTGACAACAATAAATATGTTATTCTCGTGATATGAAGATTTTATGAGTGGGAGAGTGAACAGTATCGAACTTTTTATTGTGCTATCCATTTCCATCAGTTTCATTGAAATGAGTCAGGAAAATGATCACTGAGAGCGAGAACAGTTGTCAACTTATCAGTCAGTCACTCTATGAATTCTCAGTTCTTATTACCGATGCATCTTCGCATAAACGATTCGAAACGGCTTTTCCCATTTAATGCATTGCTCACAATCAGTGGATATTGATGCTGATATATATGCATTCTGTCATGCATCCATGTTTGTCGCGAACATTCTTGCTGAAACGACGAATAATTCGCATGAATGAGAGTCAATAAAATTTTCTTCTATTTGAATATTCACTCAAATACAATAACTCCTCCGTTCTCAAATCTTTTGCGCAATGTAGTTCATCCATCAAATCATTCCATCATTTGAATTTCAATTTATTGCTCTCGTTACGAAGCATTGCCTCTTCGAATTACAACCACAAGCAATGCCATAATGTTGTCATATAATATCACAGTTCCAGTATTAATACCAATATTTATACCGATTAAACTCTTCTAATGAGAGTTTTCATTTCAGGTAGTTATAGAGACGAGATACGAGTGAATAATAAAATAGTCTTTATTTGTACAATGACTACACATTAACAAGAACTGTGACGAATTCGTCGAAGTTTGTCAGTCATCATCATATGCAGGTGTTAGGTAAATATAGTGTCAGCGAAATGCTCTGCTACAGATTATTGATCATTGACGCGTAACTGTTGTCGATACGGATACCTATTTCTGTATGTTTCCTGCTGGTTTAGGGAACTTTCAAAGATAATGACTTGCTTACAGTCATTATCGAATGCGTACAATATTTGTGATTATCATGACTCATTTATGCCATTTTTATGTTCGTTTTTATATCAACGTGAAGCAGTCGTCTTTGTTCGCCCTTAGTCCAGAACAGCATTGAAACTTGATCATTTAACTCAAAATATCGAATCTATTTTCTCGACGGAACATATGATTCATGAAATTTGCGCTATTTGAAAATGAAGCTGCAATTCGAAAACGGGTTACAATCTTATTTTCTTATTGCTGCTGTTAAATCAGTTTGAGATTTGACGAATAATCAGTCAAAGAGCAATCAATTTGCTGTCAAGATGATGTGATTCAAGTTCGCGACATTCGTTCCGAAATCATCCTCCTCTATGCGTCCCCGTCTCTTCTCATCACTACTGAATTATTCACAAAAACATTTGTTCTGTGTCCGTTCGTAAGTGATTGAGTTCACTGCATGTCCTCAGCTGCTTAAATAAACCATCGTCGATAAAGATCGCAACAATAACGTGTGCTAGGAAAGCATCTTTTGCCCACTCTCTTTTCTTTTAAGTTCACTATAATTCAACGCATAAATACTGTTCATTGAAAGATACAACAACAACAACTTGGTCCGATTCCGTTGAAAATTAAACAGTTTCTGTAAGACATCGTTTGATCTGGTAATAATGAGTATATCGGATTAGTTTATCATCTTCCGGCTTTTTGCACTGGAATTCAGTTGTATTTTGTTGGTTCGTGAGTTAGTTAAGTAGTAATGGAGAGATGGAAGTGAAGAGTTAAATCAACAACAATATTGATGAATTGTGTCGTTAGACAATCATCACCATGCTCATCATCATTATGACGATTCGATAGATTCATTTGCAGTATTTACTCGTCACATTCTCATTCATAATTCATTTTCATTTTTTCATCACCGCATTCCTGTCTCGAAAACTTCAACTGCACACCATGCGATGCTCACAATGCCGTTTGTCGTCAGCAAATTTCCGTTATGTCCCTTCTATTTACGAATTTTTCCTATGGCATTTATCTATTATACCAAAATTTCTTGATTCAAAAGGACTGCGAAAATTGAGATTGAGGAACAGAGATACTTATAGAATGAAATTTGTTCTGATTAATTCTTGTCTGTTCTAATTGGTCTGTATCAATTGTTCTAATATGCGATAGTATTAATCAATCGATAAAAATAACTGCGTACAACTTCCTCGAGTTGTTTTTTTTTTGATACTCATCAAATACGATATATTCATCGGTGCATTGAAATATCGTCGATTCATGTCAAAACAAAAAATGAATTCACTTTTAGGTAGAAAGAAAACAAACACAAACAAGATAAGGAACACAAAAGCTGAGTGATAAAAGTTTGATAAATCGTGTTATGCGAGCTACTCCTTTGCTTTACGTTCGTCTCTCCAAAACGACAATCGATCAAAATGGCCGACCTGGAAGCAGTTCTCGCCGATGTCAGTTACCTGATGGCGATGGAGAAGTCCAGAAGTCAACCGGCCGCAAGGGCATCCAAAAAGATCATCCTTCCTGATCCTAGGTATATACAGTTTGAACCACTTAGTATTATATAATAAATCGCTTGCTAGGCACACTGGACAATTGGAACAGGTCATTGATCAATGCAAAGCGTGTAATTTTGTTGACGTTCAGGAACAGCTCATGAAGACTATCTTCCAGTTGAATCAAAAATGATATCATACAGCTTTGATACAGAAGTTCCACTTTCTTTGAGTCAATGTCTGAAATGCATTCAGACTTTCGATTTGAATCATGCAACAATTTTGTTTTGTTTATCGTTCATAGTAATGCGAGTGTATGATCGTGATTGTTTTTTAGTGTTCGGAGTATCATGTTAAAATATTTGGAGAAGACGGGTGAGATAAAATTTGAGCGAATTTTCAATCAACGACTTGGATTTTTATTGTTGAAGGATTTCGCTGAAAATGTATCTGACACACCGTGTCCCCAAATTAAATTTTATGAAGCGGTAAGGCAGCTCCTCGTTTATTATCATTAATCAAACTGATTATAACACCTTTTACCCAACTAAGACAGCACCACTCACTAATTTTATCTTGAATAATCTCTCAGTCATAACGCCGAATCGTCAAAATAATCCATTCAAGAGTGTAACCCAACTATCGAATACGATGAATATTTTCAGATCAAAGAATACGAAAAAATGGAAACGGCTGAAGAACGACTGACGAAAGCGCGTGAAATATATGATCATCATATTATGGTTGAAATGCTGGCACATTCACATGTTAGTTAGAGAGCTTTCTTATTGTTAGTTTCTTCCACACAGGTTCACACCTTTCGAAGCAAATCCTCAGCTGTGAGGGGGCGAACCATATCAATTATTAATAGAACATCGTGTTTTTTTTTTCAAATCACACATTTATCATTTTCTGAAGTTGGAGTTATTAAGGTTGATGTGTCCGTAGTCAATAACTCGTATCATTTTAAATTAGCGACGCGAGTTATTTTCAGTGCATCAGCCAACTCCTATCACCTAGGTTACTTTTTGATGCATGAACATTTCAGAATTACTCAAAGGACTCACTGCAATACGTTCAAAGGAATCTCATGAAAAATAGTGTTCCACCAGATCTATTCCAAGTATTATTCAGTTATTAATTCAGTTCATTTAAATCCTTTGAAATCCGCTTGACTGAAATCGGAATTTTTTTCAACAGTCTATGTGAACTTTCGACGAAAATAGATATGTCGCACCATCTAAATTACGCGTTTCAACGTCCCACGCAAAGAACAGAGGGATGGATGGAACAACGTTTCAGCCTATTTTTTCTCAACAAACATTTAAACAGGTTTTTCCAGTCAAAAAAGGTGCCTATATGGAAGGTGAGACCGTGAAAATTTCTGAATTTGAAAATCTTAACCTGCAGCACTCTACGGGAAAAACAAATTGAATCAGTGAATCTTCTAATCGTTCCCTTTTTTTTGAAATAATTCAGCACAGGCTGTTCTTGTATGTAAAGTTTTCAAAAAGCTTTTTTTTTTGAGAGGTGAGAGCAAAAAACTTTCAAGTCTTCAAAAATAACTATTACTCTAACGTATTGGGGTTATGCAGATTGCCGCAAAGGAATTTTTCTCTTGAATTCTGTAGAAACCCATCGACTTTGATCCACTTCGATTAATAACCACCCTAGCAGAACGTCAGCCAAAAATATTGCACCTAGAGCTGGCTTAAGGGGTTCGAACTTTTCAGTACAGCAGTAAATTGAGCGTTCTCCTTCTTCGTCGATTTATCAATCTTTTTTTCTGACTTTTGAAGCGTCGGATAAAAATGATCCACTTCGTAGCAGAAAAACTCAGTGCAATGGAAACATATCCTGAGCTGTTCTTTCTTTTCAATATGGCAATGGACGGTTATTGACTCCACTCGTTCGTGTTTTTTTTCGGGGGCGGGGAGAGAGTTTTTGGTGTGCTTAGTAGAAATGATTGGAATTTGTGTAAACAACAATCGCTGTGAAATTTCACTAATATCATTATAATTGAAGCATTCGAACATTGAAGCACTTCTTCAAACAAGACGTACTATCAGTAACTATGAAAAGCTGAATTTCATGTCACTTAAGGGGTTCAGTTAAGGGCACATTACTTTTTTTCAGATTTATACGTTCCAATGACGCTTAGAGGGCATCTTAGTTTAGAAAGCAGTAAGATTCAGCGATTTAGCCAGTCCTTCAACAACAATCGGTGCTTATTGAAATGCTGGATTGCTTGGAGTTTTCATGCGATTGAATCAGTTATTTTCATTGTTCGCTTCAAAAATCGAGAAGTCGTGCAACATGCTCAATGCTCAATTTTTTGGGAGGAACACCGCTCAATTTTTTGCTGTACTGAATGGCTCGATCGCTCTGCATCAGTTCCAGGCGCCATACTCATGGCTGAAAATTTCCGTCGACAAAGATTTTCTTGTCCTCAAAGAGTCTCATACAGTTTCATTCGTTTTGATTTTTGTTTTCGCAACCTGATATTATACTGAAAACCATCCCTTATCCCCAGTCATCCCTTATCCCAGTTCACACAATATTGTCTCTAGTATTGTTATCGTTTCAAAAATGTAGTCAACAATTTCAGCCTTATGTAACTGAAATATGTGAGCAGCTCAAAGGTGATGTCTTTCAAAAATTTTTGGAGAGGTTAGCTTTCAGTTCTGTTCTCGAACACTCATCAATGAGTACATCTTACCAGGCAAACAAATAACTAATCGTTCAATATATTTTCTTCCCAATTTCTTCAGTTGGCGTCGCCTAAATCAACTGAATTATTTATCTGTGCAGATTATCCAATCATCAAAAGTTCATTGAAAACTGAACGCTGTGTGAAAGTTTCATTCAAACACATTATTATGCTATCAAATGTACAGCTATATTTACTGGGCCGATACAAAGGCAATGCCTTATTCAAATCAAATTTAGAGTGAGACTAAGCAAGAAGACTAATATATTGCGCACTACCCAGCTTTTGTCAATAAGCGCTGTTATGTTGACGAGTATCTTTGATTCTTTAAGTTGTTTTTAGTGAGCTGAGGAATCATTTCCGTTGTCCATTAACGAAAACAGGAAACAGTGCATATTGATCGGTTGTTTTCAGCGATAAATTTACGAGATTTTGCCAGTGGAAGAATCTCGAGTTGAATATGCAATTAACGATGAATGATTTCTCAGTTCATCGAATCATCGGACGTGGTGGGTTCGGCGAGGTGTACGGCTGTAGAAAAGCTGATACTGGAAAGATGTTTGTCTTTTAATGATTCACATTCACCTCTTATAAAATCATTATCGCGCAATTTGAATCGATCATAAAATGAACATCACTCACCAATCACATGCAACCATTTGCTACCAACTACTATCAAACTTAAAGACGTTCATAACCTCATCATAAATTATACAGTTTCCCTCATTTTCGTTCATCAAACCTCGACAAACAATACTAATATAATGACGATGATATAAGGTATGCAATGAAATGCCTGGATAAGAAGCGAATAAAGATGAAGCAAGGCGAGACATTGGCACTCAATGAACGCATCATGCTCAGTCTTGTCAGCACTGGTGTGAGTTTCATCGACTTTGGCTGTTTATTGTTGATCTTTTCAATTTTGTAAATGATTTCGATCGATAGAGATGTTACTCTTTTATATACTTCAGCTTTGACACCTTCAGCACTCGTATTATCGATTTCTTATCGAAATATTGCTATAATGTCATAATTTTGCAGCAAGATTGTCCATTCATAGTGTGTATGACATATGCATTTCAATCATCCGATAAACTTTGTTTCATCCTCGATCTTATGAATGGTGGTGATTTGCACTATCACTTGAGTCAACACGGAGTTTTTACAGGTAATCTCGCTTGATGAAATTAATCATTAAATAGCAGTTGACTGAAGCGTTGAGCTGCTTCATGAAAATTACTGGTTGCAATTCAGTGCACGTGATGGATATAAAAAGAATGATGTCTGTCTCTAGCAAGTTATTTCGATTGATTTTATTGAACTGAAACATGGAATAGCGCAGAATTGTGGCTAAATTTCAGAATCGGAAATGATGTTTTATGCAGCCGAAGTGATACTCGGTTTGGAACATATGCATAATCGATCAGTGGTGTATCGTGATCTCAAGCCAGCGAACATTCTGCTCGATGAGAACGGGCATGCACGTGTCTCTGATCTTGGTTTAGCGTGCGATTTCTCGAAGAAGAAACCTCATGCCAGCGTGTAGGTTCACTTTTTTCATTTCAGTCATCTGAAAACTGCTACTTAATGGGGCGCAAAAAACGTCATCTTAAACTATCGCTTAATATGGCTAAACAAAACGTGTGAAGTGAGGAATGCTCAGTGATGGTGTCGCTATTGCAGAGGAACACACGGGTATATGGCACCAGAGGTGCTGGCAAAAGGAGTCGCCTATGATTCGTCCGCAGATTGGTTCTCGTTTGGTTGCATGCTCTATAAGTTGCTTAAAGGTCACAGCCCGTTCAGACAGCACAAAGCTAAAGCTGCGAACAAGGTCATTTATCAGTTTATCGCCGAAGTGCGATCGAAGTATTTTGATAAAGATACATCGAATAAAATTTTCAGTTTATTAAAAACAACTTTCATTTCTTCCAGTCATTGCTGTTCGATTGATCGATATCTTTATATTTGCTGAACAGTTTGCCGGAATGAGAAAAAAANGTCTGAATTCTTCCATTTTAACCACATCAACGGACTCCAATCTCAGCAGACCTATTCAAGCCTTCACTGCACATTCAATTAGATCTACTGTGCAGTGAAAGATATCTCAGTTCAACCGATCGAATCATAGAAACATAAATTTTTAATGTTCTTGCTCCAGTTCAGCGCCTGTGCGGAATTTTTAAAATGAATTATTCAAAACGACTTCAGAAAGCAATTCATCATTGGGCCATAGTCCAGTGATATGTTGCTTTTTAATTCGTTTCGAGTAATTCATTTTGGAGCAGGAACATTAAAAATTTATGTTTCTATGATTTCATTGGTTGAATTTCATGCCCTGACATAAATCTGTTGAACTAGTGCAGGAACATTTTAAAAAAACTCCAGTACCCATTCTTTCCGGTGAGTAATGTTTGAATTGACTAAACTTTGCCAGAATGATAGAAAATGTTGATTCAAGGACAAGAATGAGATAGATAAGATGACAATGACACAGGACATTGATCTACCTGATTCGGGTTTCACTCCGGAATGTCGTGATTTGTTGGAGGGTCTTCTGAAGCGCGACGTTCCTGACAGGCTCGGATGCAAAGGAAGAGGGTGCGTTTAAATCAGTTATTATTCCACTGATACTCCGTCGTTTGATCGACATCAGTGTGCTGTGGGGAACAAGCGATTTTGAGGATACCGTCCCCATTACCGTCAAGGAGACCGAATTTTAGAGGTCCCCGACTGCAAATTTCGCTCCGACTTCTCTGAAATTGGCGGGGATTAGGATCAACTGATATAGTGTATCCCTCTTCATTCAGACCGTGTGAAGTAAAAGAACATCCGTTTTTCGCATCAATCGACTGGCAAACTGTATATCTACGTCGTATGCCTCCACCATTGATTCCACCTCGCGGAGAGGTCAATGCTGCTGATGCTTTTGATATTGGGAACTTTGATGATGACGAGGTTAAGGGAGTCAAGGTCGAATTTTATTAATTTTTAAGTTCATATTGCTTATAATTTGTGATAGTTTCAATTAATCCTTTTGAATTCCTCATATCAGTTTTAATTAGTTCTACTGTAGAGGAAGCATGACCTTATTGTTCATCACCTATTAAAGAGCACATGAAATAATCCATGAGTTGAAGTGTTTGAATGTTCAGTTAAATGAAGCAGACAACGAGTTGTATAAAAACTTCAACATAACGATCTCGGAACGATGGCAGAATGAGATCGCTGATACGGTATTTGAAATGGTCAATCAGGATGCAGATAAGGCTGAGAGTAAGAAGCGAGCGAAACAAAAAACCAAATTGAATATTGATGAAAAAGGTGATTCTATAAATCAGTCGACAACAACATCGATTTTTCATTTTGTGCACATTTTATCATATGGTAACATCAGAATCAATTGACAATCGTGTCGAATGGATGACGCTTTCAGATTCTGATGTAATAGTGCATGGTTACATCAAGAAACTTGGTGGTCCATTCACATCTGCTTGGCAAACGCGTTACGGCAAATTGTATCCGAGTAGACTGGAACTTTATCCTGAATCGTTGAGTGGTAAACCTGAGGTTTGTTTATTACTTTTCATGGTGATATGAAACACAATTATTTGATTAGAGTAGATCGATCGTGAAAGCGAAATGGTATATAAAATCAAATTGTTCCAGTTAGTCTTCATGGACCAAATCGAAGATGTAATATCTGAACTGCAAGTGGTTAAAGGGGAGAATTCGATTGTGATTAAACTGAAAGAGGGATTAAAGGAAACGAAAGTTATTCTGACAAATCAGGTTGGTCGCCTTCTCTTATTCATCAATTTCGAAGCGTTTGTTAAGATAATAGTTTCGCAAAAAAATGATAAACATCGAGTGGATTTAAGGACGAAATATCACTGCGTGAATGGCATACATCAATGCGAACAGCGCATCGAGTTTCATCGGAATTACTCCAGCGAATGGGTCGTAAAGCCATCAAAATATACGGTGTAAATCACGATCCAATGCTGTCTGAGAACGAACGACCTGCATCCGTTACGAGAGCTTTCCTTAATCGCACCTCTTCCGTTGATTCCGGCATCTGATTGATTTTACTCATCAGCACAAACCAATCTAACATCAATCACATAACAACTATTGTCTCATCTGTCAGTGCAATGACAGTGTGTTATCAATGGAACCGTACGAAGTGAAGTATGCCATTGCATCATAATATTTAGGATACTCACCATAAGTACCACACTTTGATGTCACAAAGTAGCAAAAAATTAGAAGACAATTGAGGTTCATGTCTGAACACCTTCGTGATGCACTACTACCATTCTATTCCTCAACGAACTGTTAACGAGCATCGCACTGCGTAATCAATCACTCGTTATGAATAGATAATTTTGCACTAATTGTAAATGAAAAAAGTTTCATATCATACGGGGAATATGATGATGTGTATGCAACTGCTTCCAGTTCCATTCTTTAATTTTAATAGGGCATTCTGATTATTGAACAACTCTTGATCTGTCCGCTATATCAGTTAAGTATCTCACCACTTTCGTGTTAAGTATCGATCAGTCGATATCCGTCATATAAATTTATTACATCAATTTACTCACCATCCGATCATGGTCCTGCCTCTTTCTCTAATAATAAGATCAGCAAGAATGCTCCAAAGCTGATCAACGTAATTTTAGTTAATCAAACAATTACTTAGTTCAACGTTATGACCACATCAAAAAAAAAACTCTACTAAACATGCGTATAACGTAACGTGTAATGTTACATTTTATCTATCGAGTTACTGATATTTGATTCCAGAAAATGCAACACGACGATGACATTGTAGCCTCAATTACGTGGTACAAACAAACATTAACTTTTGATGAACACACCCTTAAACGGACGTGTTTTGTTGACGGGAATCAGCAAGTATATAGTGAAGCGCGTGATAAGCAATCATTAACATATTCGGTTATAACCGTCAATATTTATTTGTAAGCATTAAGCGACAGTGCCATTTGATTGAACTCATTGGATAGGGAAACATCACGTTGACGGGATAGAATAAATGTTATTTTATCGAGCAATTCAAAACCCGTTTGAAGCATTGGAAGTTGATAAATGATAAAAATCAAGATTCATTCACACTGAAAATTAGCACTCGTATTCGCATCTCAAGTCGAATCAGTACAACATGTTATCAGTCAATTTGATTCAATAATAACAATGTTCGAATCTCATTGCGTTGGCTGTTCTCTTGTTATAATTTTATCCCTTTAATAGATCATTATTCCGAATTATTTATTCTAAAAATGTATTCACCTACTTAAACCGTTCTTTAATATCGCAATTGTGAGTGTCGTTTCATATTTTAAAAACATGAACGATGACGTCTACCGATTCATCATCTTAAAACATCGAATTACTTCCAGTTCATACAATTTGTGAGTGAAGAATACCGATTGCCTTTATTGTATTCATTATTATCATAACTACAATTACCGTGACAGATAGTTCAGATCTCAGCTTTTGCAAACATCTGTGTTTCTCATCTCATTTTTATTCGTTATCATTAACGTGCGGTATCATTCTTGTCAGCATACACTTTATTATGATAATGAATTTCCTCGTGATTATTTCTTAGATAAAACAATTTGTTTGACTGTTGGTTAATAAATAAGTGTTCACATCATACCAAAGAGTAATTCTCGTCAAAAAGCACTTCAACAAAGTCGAATACAGATGAATGATAAAAACACATACTGAATATCTCCATTTACTATTCAACACCTCGTGATATCATAGTCAACGTCGACAATTCATCATATCAAAGCTAAAGTGCAATCTCATGTGATATCATACCATTGACACCCTAGTCGATCGTTACTGGTTCGGCGCAGTATGCTCCATTATGTTCTGCGGCCACTCAGTACTGGGCAATAACTATTTTCGAACCCTACACGGAATCCCCAGATCAAATTTCGAGCATCTGACCAATTTTTAAATGCGTGGTATCAACACTTCCCGATTGCAAAGTGATCATATCTGGATGCAAACCATTCCAACCCGACCAAATTTTCCACTGAGTGCAGAAATAGTAAATATCACATGACTTTAGGAAAAAAAATGAATAAATACACGAGCTGTCTAATGACATATTATTGTACAATATCAGATTAGATGAGACGCCTCATCGCACCACCATACTATCCTCAACGAACATTCTGTTCTTCGTCTTCATCAGCAGCACCAGCATCCTCCTCCTCATCCTCTTCAATCTCTTCGTCATCTTCCTGCGACAAAGCTCCAACTCCACCGCCCGCTCCCCCAACACCACATACACTTTCCGATATGCATCGCATCCGTACACTCTCACTCTTCAAGTAATATTCATTACTATTGCTTGAATTATTCATTACCATTCACTTGTACACTTTACCGGCCAATACATAATACTGAAACGATACAACAAAATAACCTGGGAACTAATTCGGGATTCGATGTTCGAGAGTAAAGCCTCCTCTTGACTATCAGTAGATGCTGATCCACTATTCACCCAAACAGATTCATCCCATTTCAGTGGAACCGTTGGATAATGAGCCGGATACATGAATGCCATTTCGGATGGTTATTTCCACTAAAACATCACCTATCCAGTTACGAAACCAATCACTCTTTCAACTGATTTAAATTTTGCTGAAATGATATCCAATAAGAACTGCACGTACTAACGCGCAAAACTATATCAACCATAATGTGTGAAAATATTTCAAAAGTCATTAATAACAACAATACTGAAAAAGTGAAAGTAAATACAAACAAATTCAACCAATAACTCAATTATAATTCGACTATTTCACCTAGTTTCATACTCTTCGCAATTGAACTTTATAATGCAGTAAACACACAACACATCCTGTTCTTATGAAAATCCACCCTTCAAAATTCTGAACAAAAATTCATTGTAACGAATTTCCAAGAATTTATCCGCAAACCGACAAGTATTCCACACAGACGTCTTTCAGTTTAGATTCGTTATTACCTAGCAACCGATACATCATCAGTAATGATCTCAATTTCCGATGGGAATAACATTCATAACATTGTTGAGTATACCATTGGATATCCATCGTGAACTAAATTCACTTGAAAATGCTGTCAGAGCAATAGAAATTTATTTATTCATTTACATTTAGAAAATAAAGAAACAAAAATAGATAGACTGATAGAAATTTGAATCACAGAAATGCATCCGAATGAACAATGAGGACTTCGAACAATGAAAACAACATTTAAAATATTCTTAGAAAAAAAGATATCCGTCCGAGAATCACCCATCAAATTCACATTCACCTCAACATTGAAACAAGGTTGAACGCAGGCAATACAAACGGAAGAATATTGTTTGCGTACACTGAGGAACTCAAGCGAAATTTTAATCAACCAGTTGGATGGAGACAGCGAGTGATGGAAACGAATGATATAGGAAGTTGCACGCAGAAAATAATTCAAAATGACAAATGTATTGGAAATGACGGAGGTTACACCGTAGATGGAGATTACCTACCAAAAGTGGTGAATGTAGAATGTTCGCAATCACAACTGGAGGGATGCCAGCTCTCCGCTGTAATCATTGTGTTCCTCATTTTCTTTTAGAAGACGTCCAACAACCGGATATTTATCTTAATTGAAAATTTATCAGAAGTACAACAACCATGCAATGAAAATACCTATCCAGAATGAACGACATATACCTATCCGAAACGGTAAAACCTAATATATAACTATCCGGAACGGTGAAATTTATTAATACACCCGAATGTCACGCAAAACTTCAATTCTTTTACAAAATCATCAACTTCAAAACTGACAAAACCGTAAGATTATACTTTTACGACGGATATTAAAATATTCTTCCTTTCAACTACTCTGTTAAGAGTTATCATGTAATGAAATTATCAATGAACCTAAGCTGCGAGGCATTTCTGATTAACTAAAAAATTGATGGAATAAGGGTGACGATAAAACATACAAGATAGTCTTTCGGCCCATTCCTTTGCTTCG